AGCGAGGAAAATTGAAGGAGAGTTAAAAGATACGTCTCGTATGAGAAACAGCAGAGGAGAAAGAGAAGGAAGAAGAGTGAAGCTAGCAGAAAGCTGAGAGAAACGAGATATTCCATGCGAAAAAGTGAAGGTAGAAGAATGAAGGGACAAGAAGAGAAGTCGAAGAGCGAGAAAAATTGAAGAATTAAAAGGTACGTCTCATACGAGGAAAACTGAGTACAGAAGAACAAAGAGGAGGAAGTAGAGCCAGCAAAGCTAATAGAGATCCGAGGGAGACACGATATTGCGTGTGAAAAAGTGAACATACAGGAACGAAGCGGTAGAAGAAGAGAGGTCGGGGAGCGAGAGAAATTGTAAGAGAATTAAAAGATCCGTCCCGTGCGCGAAAAACTGAGTACAGAAGAACGAAGGGCCGGAGGAGAGCGAGGGGAGGTGGAGAAGAGTTGAAAGGAAGAAAGAGAGGCAGCGGAAAGAATGCCGCGGGAGAAGAAAAAAGAAAAAGGAAGGCATGCCGGCGCGGCGGGTGCGGAGGGGCACACGGCTTTTAAATGCAACTTGTTGCAATCTCGCCCAAAGCTTCCGAGCTTCTTCGACTGCGGCGAGGGAACACGCGCACGTGTGTCTTCCGCTCGCAGCGAGTGTGCACACGCGTGGATCGATCCCGCGGTGCGTGTGCCGCGGTTTCCGCATTCTGGGCCGCACGCGAGAGAACCCCGTCGCGGCTCGATCCGTTCGGAAATCGATGGTACGCGCGCGTTCGGCGAACTCGGGACCGGAAGTGCGCGGATCCGAGGGAATTCTGAATTATTCAACCGGGCCAGCTTCTGCCCGACTGATCGGCGAGCCTTGTTTTTCCCCGGCGCGACACGTGCGAGGAACTGCCGTCGGCCAGACACGCGATACGATCGTCTTTGTCACTCTCTTTGTCTGTCGCCGCTGGTCCCTCTCTCTCTCTTTCTCTCTCTGTTGGCACCATGTCCCAGGCTGCCTTCGTCAATGCTGCGACGACGGGAATGCGTATCGATTCGACACCGGGACTATGCCCTTTCGGATCCCTTCGAACTACGGGCGGAACAGTTTGACGCGACGATTCGGGGACACCGTGAGATACGCCGTTGATTCGACCAGTCGCGCGCGGACACGACGCGATCCCGTGTGAAATCGGTATCCAATCTGGGTGTCCGTGATCGATGAGACTCCTGTCCTCGGAGCCGTGGATCACTGGATCACAGTTAAACGATCGTGGTACCGATCGGGAACGGTACTTTCCAGAGGAAATCATCGCTCCTCGGGGAGATGGAACTTCGAAATGCAAAACGAACAAGCGAGTCGCGTCCGATGAAAGATGTAACGTCCACTCGATGTAGGACTTCGTTCGAAACTGATCAATACCGAAAATTCTATTCTTACGTCCGTTGGTTCCAAGAAACCAGTTTCTTTCGGAGGATCCCGGTGTCGATTTCAAACGATACTTTTTATATAGGAGTTACTCCGGAAGACGCGAACGAAGTACAAGCGTGAAATTCGAAAACGGGAAGAACGAACTCGGTGAACCGTACGAAAATTTCGAGGGAACCGTGGAATCCTAGTCCTTACGTTTGCGAACCACGGGCAGACGGAGACAAGCGTTGGAACAGGCGTCGCGACGTGTCGCGGCGTGTCGCGGCGCTGCCCGGCACGGCACGGCACGGCGAGGAGCGTCTCCGAGTGAAAGTTCGCGTCGCGGATGGCCGATGCCGACTACGAAAGCTCGACGTCGCGCCAGTTTAGGTCCGTGCGCTGGTAGGTCGTGCACCTGGGCGCTTGCGCGTTACGGCCGGGCCAGGTGCAAAACGCACGCGGCTGCCACTCGAACGGAGAGATCTGACGCGCGAGTGCCGTCAGGACTCGACGCAACGGCCCGCGACCGTCACGGACAGATAGAGCCGATCTTCAAGCCCCCATCGATCGAAATCCCGAAAAATTACCGCTGACAACCTACTCCAGTCATTTTCCCGAGAGGAAATTCAAACGTATCGCTAACCAAAAGTCACCGATCTGCTCCTCTATGCTGCGACCAGCTGGAGATACGAATGAATGCGACGTCGGTCAATTTCTTAACCTTGAGGACGATTCTCCGATACGATGTCCTCTATCTATGGATCCTCGGAGCTGCGATCGAGAGCTGTGCGTTGGTCAGAGGTGAAACGTGTTTCTGCGTTCTTTACACTTCGCTCAGAAGATGAAGTTACCGTTATAGACATTGTTAAGTGAAGTTTATTGCAATTCGTTACGACTATTACAGTCGACGCTTTTTTATTATCCGTTTGCAGTCGAGAGGTGACTCTCAGTCACCACTTGATTTCACGTAGCGAAACTCTAAAATTTGATATTCAATATTGAACCGTATATAATGCATCGGTGTGTGGAATATTCGGATGAAAAAGCTTTTCTCAATTCACTTGCGATTTCTCTTTGAGTTCATTTAAAAAAGTATCGTTTGTGTCCAGTTAGAATGTTAAATATTTCGAACGAAATACTTCCGAGTGCAGAGTTACAATACATTTAACCGTTTGCGAATGTCATTTCGATGAAATGTTGATATTTGGGATGCAAGTTGTAAACCAATTCGAACAGAGATCAGTGTATAGTTCCCTTTCTCTATTATTTAAGCACTCGATGTATAATTCAGCTTCATATGTTGCATTTTCTATATTTTAAAGTCTTCGTCGAAGAGTTGAATATGTCGGATCGATGGAACATTTAACACTAGGTTTACGGAACGCGTCAAATTGACGCATATTGGATTTTAGAAATATTATTTTGTAAATGTTTACGCTGATTTTGATTGATGCGATCACACTGACATGTACCCCAATTACCTACTATCAAATCTCCAGTTTCCACAATTTAAAGAAACGAATATCAATTCTTTTAGGAATAATAGAATGAAGTGTACAATAAATGCCCGTAAACCTAGTGTTAAAGAAGTATCGTTTGTGTCCAGTTAGAAAATGTTAAATATTTCTAACGAAATACTTCCGAGTGCAAACAGGTACAATACATTTAACCGTTTAACGAACGTCATTTCGAGATGAAATGTTGATATTTGGGATACCAAGTTGTAAACCAATTCGAACAGCGAGCGATCAGTGTATAGTTCCCTTTCTCTATTATTTAAGCACTCGATGTATAATTCAGCTTCATACGTTACGAGTGTTCTATACTTTAAAGAGTCTTCGTGGAAGAGTTAAATATGTCGGATCGATGGAGCATTACAATCGAGCAGATCGTCACCGCGGCGAACGTGTTAATTAATTATTAACCGTAACTACCCCGTCGTTTGAGCGTAATCGGTCTCATTAGAAAACAAAAGCGTACGTTCCCACGATTCGCGCTCCTCGATCGCGCGTCGCAGCTCCGCTGTAAACGCCGGTTCGCTCGTGCGCACCGTATCTTTCCGGCCGTTCATCCGTTTCTATCTTCTCGCCCGTCGTTCTCGCTCGACGGAACGACACCCGGTGTACAGAACGCCGCGCGTCCCGCGTAATTATCAATATCCGGCCCCGTTGCCAGCCAGACACGGCCGAACGCGGATCGATACGAAACAATAGTTAATTCCACTCTGATTGTTGTTAGTATTCACGGCCCCGGGAACGCGTCCTATTTCCGATCGACCGGCTCGAGTTTTCTCGGAGAGGGTAAATTGAAAATAGTCGAGCGTGTTCCAGCCGGCGCGCGACTCGATCCCCCGATCGATCGCGGCGCGCAGGGCCCTACGGGCGGCGATCTCGATCTTCCCGGAAACACGGCATATCGCGGCCTGGCTGCTGGCGAACCGAACGGTTCAATGGGCGAGCCGTTGCCCGCGGAAGACATAATGCTCGCTGATGAATTGATATTATCGTTAGACCGCGCGGGACTTCATGCATTTATAACGCGCGGGATCTTCCAGGAACCGGTAAGCGGAGGAGATTTCAATGGAATTTAGTACGTGCTTTTACTTTGGCTGTAATGAAGCGAAACCATTCCCTGGGAAATCAAATTTTATTTAATTTCAGTTTCTTCGGCCGGCGTATGGATTCGTTTGAACTTTCGGCGTGTACTTATTGATACGGTATCGATAGATCTACGGCGTTTGTTCTACACTTTGTTGTATTGGTTCTGGCGAACGTGCAAGTAGGTCGAGAAAATTGTTGCTTCGAAGGGTATTACGATGCGTATTCGCATGATCGAGCAGAATCGAGTTGAACTGTTATTAATACTGTTGAAAACATTTGATATTCGTTGGATTGACCCTTCGCGCTCCTGTGACGTCAGTTTTATTCACAGGTGTGCTTTGCCAAGATATTTTTCAAATAGATTGTATTATGTTATTTTCAATATTATTTGCAAAAGGAATAGTTTAGCGTTTCGAATAAAATGTAATAATACAGAGTTAAAGAAAAAGTGCGAAAAAATTCAGATTGCAAAGGGTGAAGAATATTCTGATAATTGATGTTATGAAGCAGAAAGTTAAGAGACACAATTTCATTCGAGTGACGAAGTACCCAAGAACCTACCTATCAGTTCCCTCGATCAAGTTCATTCGGCTAATCAGCGCCCATCTCCGCGATCCAAAGAATTCCTTGAAAATTAAAGACGAAAGTCGTCAGTTCGAGGATCTACATAAAACACTCTGTTCCCCGAATTCAACCGACATTGAAAGCGTCAAGCGGACCTTCATCCCGAAATCCCCGGCAAAGTCCTCCACCGAGTGGCTCGCGGAATGATCTTTCAGATCCGAAGAACTCGGTCTCGTCTATCGACGCGAGCGAACGAGCCAGTTCCAAACGAGAGGACCGGACGAAACAATTATTCCGTTTCCTCTTGGAGAACGTCGCGAGTGGATTCAAGAGACGCTTTAAAGGCGATAATAAGCTCGGTCGTTTGTAAACGCGTTCCGCGGGGAAATCTTCGTGAATGGAAAAAAGGGGCGGGCAAGGTGGGCGGGTGTGCCGCGTCGCGGCGGGGGCCGGAAGGAGAAAGCAAAAACGGAGGAGAAATTAACTTTCCGGTGTTTTCTTTTCCCGACGATTCGTCGACGGAACGCCGCCGCCGCTGCCGCCGCGGTCCCACCCCACCGCGACCATTTCTCTCTCCACATCGAGGCTGCAGTTGGAAAAAGAAACGCGAACATTCCGGGGCGCGCGTTACATCGCTCGCGCGCGGGCGCAGCGAAGGATCCATCGCCAGCATGAAACCGTAACGGGATAATCGTTTTTTACCCGGCCCTCTAGGCCTCTCTCCAACGTTCCCCGTCCCGTTTCTTTGGGTCACTTTGTTCCGCAAACTGAAACTGACGCGATGGCCAATTTCGTTCGTTACGGTAACGATAATGGTAATCGTTAACCGCGCGCTTCGCCTCGCCGAGCCGCAACCAAGAGCGAAACAGCGAATAACAGAGACACAGATGGATAGAGAGAGAGAGAGAGAGAGAGAGAGAGAGAGAGAGAATGAGATAGTGAAGAGAG